GGTGGGTGGGTGCATGGGTGGGTGGGTGCATGGGTGGGTGGGTGCATGGGTGGGTGGGTGCATGGGTGGGTGGGTGCATGGGTGGGTGGGTGCATGGGTGGGTGGGTGCATGGGTGTGGTGCAGGGGGGGGGGGGGGGGTGTGCATGGGTGGGTGGGTGCATGGGTGGGTGGGTGCATGGGTGGGTGGGTGCATGGGTGGGTGGGTGCATGGGTGGTGGGGTGCATGGGTGGGTGGGTGCATGGGTGGGTGGGTGCATGGTGGGTGGGTGCATGGGTGGGTGGGTGAATGGGTGGGTGGGTGCATGGGTGGGTGGGTGCATGGGTGGGTGGGTGCATGGGTGGGTGGGTGCATGGGTGGGTGGGTGCATGGGTGGGTGGGTGCATGGGTGGGGTGGGTGCATGGGTTGGGTGGGTGCATGGGTGGGTGTGTGCATGGGTGGGTGGGTGCATGGGTGGGTGGGTGCATGGGTGGGTGGGGTGCATGGGTGGGTGGGTGCATGGGTGGGTGGGTGCATGGGTGGGTGGGTGCATGGGTGGGTGGGTGCATGGGTGGGTGGGTGCATGGGTGGGTGGGTGCATGGGTGGGTGGGTGCATGGGTGGGTGGGTGCATGGGTGGGTGGGTGCATGGGTGGGTGGGTGCATGGGTGGGTGGGTGCATGGGTGGGTGGGTGCATGGGTGGGTGGGTGCATGGGTGGGTGGGTGCATGGGTGGGTGGGTGCATGGGTGGGTGGGTGCATGGGTGGGTGGGTGCATGGGTGGGTGGGTGCATGGGTGGGTGGGTGCATGGGTGGGTGGGTGCATGGGTGGGTGGGTGCATGGGTGGGTGGGTGCATGGGTGGGTGGGTGCATGGGTGGGTGGGTGCATGGGTGGGTGGGTGCATGGGTGGGTGGGTGCATGGGTGGGTGGGTGCATGGGTGGGTGGGTGCATGGGTGGGTGGGTGCATGGGTGGGTGGGTGCATGGGTGGGTGGGTGCATGGGTGGGTGGGTGCATGGGTGGGTGGGTGCATGGGTGGGTGGGTGCATGGGTGGGTGGGTGCATGGGTGGGTGGGTGCATGGGTGGGTGGGTGCATGGGTGGGTGGGTGCATGGGTGGGTGGGTGCATGGGTGGGTGGGTGCATGGGTGGGTGGGTGCATGGGTGGGTGGGTGCATGGGTGGGTGGGTGCATGGGTGGGTGGGTGCATGGGTGGGTGGGTGCATGGGTGGGTGGGTGCATGGGTGGGTGGGTGCATGGGTGGGTGGGTGCATGGGTGGGTGGGTGCATGGGTGGGTGGGTGCATGGGTGGGTGGGTGCATGGGTGGGTGGGTGCATGGGTGGGTGGGTGCATGGGTGGGTGGGTGCATGGGTGGGTGGGTGCATGGGTGGGTGGGTGCATGGGTGGGTGGGTGCATGGGTGGGTGGGTGCATGGGTGGGTGGGTGCATGGGTGGGTGGGTGCATGGGTGGGTGGGTGCATGGGTGGGTGGGTGCATGGGTGGGTGGGTGCATGGGTGGGTGGGTGCATGGGTGGGTGGGTGCATGGGTGGGTGGGTGCATGGGTGGGTGGGTGCATGGGTGGGTGGGTGCATGGGTGGGGTGGGTGCATGGGTGGGTGGGTGCATGGGTGGGTGGGTGCATGGGTGGGTGGGTGCATGGGTGGGGTGGGTGCATGGTGGGTGGGTGCATGGTGGGTGGGATGCATGGTGGGTGGGTGCATGGGTGGGTGGTGCATGGTGGGGTGGGTGCATGGGTGGGTGGGTGCATGGGTGGGTGGGTGCATGGTGGGGTGGGTGCATGGGTGGGTGGGTGCAATGGGTGGGTGGGTGCATGGGTGGGTGGGTGCATGGGTGGGTGGGTGCATGGGTGGGTGGGTGCATGGTGGGTGGGTGCATGGTTGGGTGTGTGCATTGGTGGGTGGGTGCATGGGTGGGTGGGTGCATGGGTGGGTGGGTGCATGGGTGGGTGGGTGCATGGGTGGGTGGGTGCATGGGTGGGTGGGTGCATGGGTGGGTGGGTGCATGGGTGGTGGGTGGGTGCATGGGTGGGTGGGTGCATGGGTGGGTGGGTGCATGGGTGGGTGGGTGCATGGGTGGGTGGGTGCATGGGTGGGTGGGTGCATGGGTGGGTGGGTGCATGGTGGGTGGTGTGCATGGGTGGGGTGGGTGCATGGGTGGGTGGGTGCATGGGTGGGTGGGTGCATGGGTGGGTGGGTGCATGGGTGGGTGGGTGCATGGGTGGGTGGGTGCATGGGTGGTGGGTGCATGGGTGGGTGGGTGCATGGGTGGGTGGGTGCATGGGTGGGTGGGTGCATGGGTGGGTGGGTGCATGGGTGGGTGGGTGCATGGGTGGGTGGGTGCATGGGTGGGTGGGGTGGCATGGGTGGGTGGGTGCATGGGTGGGTGGGGGTGCATGGTGGGTGGGTGCATGGGTGGGTGGGTGCATGGGTGGGGTGGGTGCATGGGGTGGGTGGGTGCATGGGTGGGTGGGTGCATGGGGGTGGGTGGGGTGCATGGGTGGGGGGGTGCATGGGGTGGGTGGGTGCATGGGTGGTGGGTGCATGGGTGGGTGGGTGCATGGGTGGGTGGGTGCATGGGTGGGTGGGTGCATGGGTGGTGGGGTGCATGGGTGGGTGGGTGCATGGGTGGGTGGGTGCATGGGTGGGTGGGTGCATGGGGTGGGTGGGTGAAGTGGGTGGGTGGGTGCATGGGTGGGTGGAGGGGGTGGGGGGGTGCATGGGTGGGTGGGTGCATGGGTGGGTGGGTGCATGGGTGGGTGGGTGCATGGGTGGGTGGGTGCATGGGTGGGTGGGTGCATGGGTGGGTGGTGCATGGGTGGGTGGGTGCATGGGTGGGTGGGTGCATGGTGGGTGGGTGCATGGGTGGGTGGGTGCATGGGTGGGTGGGTGCATGGGTGGGTGGGTGCCTGGGTGGGTGGGTGCATGGGTGGGTGGGTGCATGGGTGGGTGGGTGCATGGGTGGGTGGGTGCATTGGGTGGGTGGGTGCATGGGTGGGTGGGTGCATGGGTGGGTGGGTGCATGGGTTGGTGGGTGCATGGTGGGTGGGGGGGTGCATGGGTGGGTGGGTGCATGGGTGGGTGGGTGCATGGGTGGGTGGGTGCATGGGTGGGTGGGTGCATGGGTGGGTGGGTGCATGGGTGGGTGGGTGCATGGGTGGGTGGGTGCATGGGTGGGTGGGTGCATGGGTGGGGTGGGTGCATGGGTGGGTGGGTGCATGGTGGGTGGGTGAATGGGTGGGTGCATGGTGGGTGGTGCATGGGTGGGTGGGTGCATGGTGGGTGGGTGCATGGGTGGGTGGGTGCATGGGTGGGTGGGTGCATGGTGGGTGGGTGCATGGGTGGGTGGGTGCATGGGTGGGTGGGTGCATGGGTGGGTGGGTGCATGGGTGGGTGGGTGCATGGGTGGGTGGGTGCATGGGTGGGTGGGTGCATGGGTGGGTGGGTGCATGGGTGGGTGGGTGCATGGGTGGGTGGGTGCATGGGTGGGTGGGGTGCATGGGTGGGTGGGTGCATGGGTGGGTGGGTGCATGGTGGGTGGGTGCATGGGTGGGTGGGTGCATGGGTGGGTGGGTGCATGGGTGGGTGGGTGCATGGGTGGGTGGGTGCATGGGTGGGTGGGTGCATGGGTGGGTGGGTGCATGGTGGGTGGGTGCATGGGTGGGTGGGTGCTGGGTGGGTGGGTGCATGGGTGGGTGGGTGCATGGGTGGGTGGGTGCATGGGTGGGTGGGTGCATGGGTGGGTGGGTGCATGGGTGGGTGGGTGCATGGGTGGGTGGGTGCATGGGTGGGTGGGTGCATGGGTGGGTGGGTGCATGGTGGGTGGGTGCATGGGTGGGTGGGTGCATGGGTGGGTGGGTGCATGGGTGGGTGGGTGCATGGGTGGGTGGGTGCATGGGTGGGTGGGTGCATGGGTGGGTGGGTGCATGGGTGGGTGGGTGCATGGGTGGGTGGGTGCATGGGTGGGTGGGGTGCATGGGTGGGTGGGTGCATGGGTGGGTGGGTGCATGGGTGGGTGGGTGCATGGGTGGGTGGGTGCATGGGTGGGTGGGTGCATGGGTGGGTGGGTGCATGGGTGGGTGGGTGCATGGGTGGGTGGGTGCATGGGTGGGTGGGTGCATGGGTGGGTGGGTGCATGGGTGGGTGGGTGCATGGGTGGGTGGGTGCATGGGTGGGTGGGTGCATGGGTGGGTGGGTGCATGGGTGGGTGGGTGCATGGGTGGGTGGGTGCATGGGTGGGTGGGTGCATGGGTGGGTGGGTGCATGGGTGGGTGGGTGCATGGGTGGGTGGGTGCATGGGTGGGTGGTGCTGGGTGGTGGGTGCATGGGTGGGTGGGTGCATGGGTGGGTGGGTGCATGGTGGGTGGGTGCATGGGTGGGTGGGTGCATGGGTGGGTGGGTGCATGGTGGGTGGGTGCATGGGTGGGTGGGTGCATGGGTGGGTGGGTGCATGGGTGGGTGGGTGCATGGGTGGGTGGGTGCATGGGTGGGTGGGTGCATGGGTGGGTGGGTGCATGGGTGGGTGGGTGCATGGGTGGGTGGGTGCATGGGTGGGAGTATGCGTGGGTGCATGGGTGCGTGCGTGGGCGGGTGGGTGTGCATGTGCGGCAGCAACAAGACAACAAGGATGAAACAAGGACAGGTGAGCCGGGAAACGAGCATCCTTTCTCCTCACAGAGCCAATCAGCGCAAATCAGGGCCAATCAGAGCCACACAGCGCGCCAATTAGAGCCAATTGGCTAAAAGGCGCTCGATTCCGTGCAGTCTCAAGTTCCTGAGGTCTCTTAGAGCGTTCTGGAGCAGATTGATCGTGATTGCCGCGTTCAAGGATCTTGGAAGCGAAAAGGGCCACTTGACATCCACATGTTTAATCTCCAAAATCTTATTTCTTCCTGAATTCTCAACGCTGCAGAGTGTGACCCTGACAACCACGAATCGTCGATTTGATTCGTCGCTACGACAAATGCTGGCGAATTCCTCCCCAGACGCTGTTCCTTCGCTAACCTCGCAGAGGACGTTTTCGACGCGGCTTCGCTTGAGGTCTTTCGCGAGCGCTGCGAAGATCGCCTCCTCCTCCTCCATCATCAGCCGCTCGATCCCTCGCAGCTGCGTCTCCCGCCATTCGCGGGATCGCGTGCGACCGCTACGAAACACCTCTCGCACGCTAGCGACAAGTTCCGCCGCATCCTTGCTTCCGAACGACCCTTCGCTGGAAGGTTTCGGTGCTGTAGTCGGCATAGCTGACGGGTCTACCGCGACCGATCTTATCGCGGACGCGGACGTGCTTGCAAAACGACTACTACTGCTGCTAGATGAGACGGAATTCAAGCTGCTAGGGTGCTTTGCAGCACCAGAACGAGACAATCTCGGTTCGCGAAGCAGGCGAAGGTCACTCTGCTTGGAACGTCCAGCCGCAGCGGTTGCGGGAACCGAAAATGAAGAGGAAACTGAATGAAAAGGAAACAGCTGCTTGGCCATGGCTGCAGTTGGTGTCGCCATTCCTGTTGAATTTCCGTCCGACCGAAAACTCCAACTGAAGGGGAGGAGGTGATATAAACGAGGGGGCGCGCGATCAAAGTGAAGGGTCGGGCAAAAGTCAAGGAATTTGTTTCCACCCCACCGAGGGTTGCCCAGATTGCCAGCAGAACAGGCATCCAGCGAGATGAGCCACGTTGGAGAATCTTGACGAGGGTCCACTCTGGCCCATTGACAAGGTTTTGTTGAAGCATGCTCTCCACGTGCTGTCTTCAGAGTGGGCAGGTACAGAATTGTGTCCAACAAGCCCTCGTCATAATCGAAAGGTCGAATCCGATACTGGATACAAAACCATATACATAATACTGAGTTGAACACCACACAGAAAACAACATACCCGGCACTACAAATGGCTTCGATTTAGAAAAGGACACGTACAGTAACCCGGTAGGCTGCCCAGTGTAATTTGCATTACCAAATCCAGATGTAAAATCAAGGGAGACTGGAATGAGTGATGGAGGAGGGCACAGAGGAGACCAGGGAGCAGACTGGGAGTGGGGACAGGGAGATATGTAAGCAGGAGGACGACCAGGAGCGAAGGGAGAGGGAGAGAGGGATGAAAGATGAGGCCAAGAGTTTGAGAAAGTGGGGAGGGAAAGAAGGAAGGGAGAATGCTCGTGAGAACTGTGTTACATAATTGATGCAGCTTTTCTGCGTTCTCTGAATTACTGTTGCATCCTAACATTTGTAAATGGTGGCTGACAAAGCAAAGAAAACCAGGTGCTGCGGGATACACAGGAGCAAGATCAAGGTTCTGCAAGCAAAAGCGGAACAAAGGTGTAAGACACCATGACATAAATCACAAAATGGCATAAACCTCACAAAAAGGAAACTCACCATGATGAGCACATCGTTAATGTCAAAACCAGTAAGATCTGTCAGCTTGTGAGGTCCACACCGTTGAGCATCATGTAGATATGCTCGCTTGCTGTCACCACAGATGCCCCCCTCTGCCCAGCTGTGCGAATGTCTTTCTTCCAGCGGAGGCTCTAAGCCAACCATGTGTTATCCACACTACTATCAGAGTACGACTGCGCTTCAAATCCATCAGACCACTCATGTGCAGCTCTGTTAATCTGACGCGGTAGCATCTCGAAGTGAATGCTGAGCGCCCTCCAACTTTCACTTGTCTGCTCTAATCCGGTCATTTCATGACGATTGCCTGTCAACAGTCTCGCGGTCCTTAGATGCTGATAATCTCGCAACACATTCCGCCCATGCAAGCCTGGGCAGGCGATGATCAGAAACGACTTGAGGTTACTGAGTCTGGTCATGGATTCAGGCAAGGTCCGCAGATTCGGCCAAGAAGACAACGTCAACCGTTTCAAGCGTGAAAGGCTTCCAATCTGCTGTGGTAATTCGGAGAGGCAAGGAAAGCCGAACAGGTACAGGGTCGAGAGTCTTGGTATCTGGCAAATGGATGCTGTGAAGTCTTTGGTGAGATGTACCCGACCAGCCTTGTCTCTGACCTTGCAGCTGGTTGGCCAACCAAACTCAAGAGATTGCTGCAGTGTTGGAAAAGAGATGGACTGACTTTTCTAATGTTGATGCACCGCTTTAAGGAGAAAGTCCGAAGAGCCGATAACTCTGAAATCGAGACTGGAAGGTTAGCAACACGTTTTAGCTTGCACAGCTCCAGATGCTCCAGAGACGACAGATGGTCTATGTTGTCTGGGAGGAGATCAATCGATCTGCACCTTTTTATCACAAGGCGACGGAGGTTTAAAAGGTTGCACATGGATTCACGAAGCTGACAAAACTTCGTGCAGTTGTAGATGGTAAGTTCCTCGAGCGAAGTGAGACAAGAAGCCGCGTCTAGAAGGGACGAAAAGACTTCACATCTTCGCAGCACAAGGATCCGTAGAGAAGGGAGCTGGAAGAAGGAATCTAGCAAATCGAAGACGCACGTAGTGTATTTGAGGTGAAACTCTTGAAGATTCTGAAGCTGGCTGATGGTGTCAGGAATGTCAACTAGGCCTTCCATGCTATGAATGCTGAGTCTAACCTGAGAATATTTGAACAAGAATGAAGTGAGTACAAATATGAAACCCTAATTGGTTGTACCCCCTATGGAATACCCCACTATAGCCTACACAACAGCATAAGCTATAATGTTCTGACACACCCCCATAGGCAAAGTGGGAGAGAACAAGGGGTCACAAGACCAGTCAAGCAAAGTAAAGCAAAGCAAGCTCAGGGTGGATCACAAAGTCACCACACAGTCCGAGCACAGGGTCAAGGCCACACGGCCAGTTCACATGCAAGAGTACACACATATATATATAAAGCTAGACAAGCAAGAGCAGGTATATATATATGTGAGAGTACAGGCAAGGTCAAGAGGAGAGCAAGTGAGGCAAGACGGGCACAAGACCCAGCTGAGTGCAGAAGCGCTGATGATCACAAGGCGGAAGTGCCTTGGTGAAGACATCAGCAGTGTTGGCCTCAGAGGCCACGTACGCAAGCCGCAACTGACCACGTTGCTGTAGCTCACGAGCAAGGAAGTAGCGGAGAGCAATGTGCTTTGTTCTGTGCTCCAGTCGCTGCTCTCGACACAAGGCCAGCATGGCCTTGTTGTCTACGTACAGGACTGGAGGAGAACGAGGCGGCTCTCCAAGGTCGGTCAGCAGGTAGGTGAGCCAGCGAAGCTCCTGTGCAGCCATGGCCCCGGCGTAGATCTCAGCCTCACAACTCGAGCCAAGAACAGAAGACGAGCGAGTAGCCCGCCACGAAACAGAGCCGGAACCAAGGCTGAAGGTGTAACCCTGTGACGACCGCTGCGTAGCCTGGTCGTCAGCCCAAGAAGCGTCCGCGTGCCCAGTGAGGACCACTGGACTCCGCCCTCCAAGCACTAGCCCCATGCCCGACATACTGCACAAGTAGCGCAACACCCTCTTCGCTGCAGCCATGTGCTCTGGTCTGTGTCTCCCAGGAGCAACATAGCGTGCAAGAATGCTAAGAGGGTATGCAAGGTCAGGTCGTGTGCAGGTCATCAGGTACATGAGGCAGCCAACAAGCTCTGGGTACGGGCCACTCGACTCTACGGACTCATCCGAAGGCAGAGCTGAGAGCGAGTGGCGAGTAGACAGAGGAGTGGCCTGAGGCGAGGAGTACGTGAAGCCGAAGCGCTGAAGGACCTGCTGCACCATGTGTGACTGAGTCAGGGTAATGGTGCGGCGTGCTCTGTCCCGGGTGATCTGCAAGCCAAGGTAGCTGCGCAGTTCACCCAGGTCTGTGCACATGTGTCTCTTCTGCAGCTCGGACTTCACGTAGGCGAGTCCAGCAGTGTCAGCTGTGGCAAAGACCAAGTCGTCGACGTACACGAGGATGTAGAACGGCGGCAGAGAGGTGTCGGTGCGTAGAAACAGCGACGGGTCGGCAGTAGAAGGAGCAAACCCAAGAGCCGCAAGTGTAGTCCTCAGTGTGTCGTGCCACTCACGTGGCGCCTGGCGGAGACCGTAGACTGGACGCCGGAGACTCCACTGGGTACCAGAAGGGAAAGACCCAGTGAAGCCAGGTGGGCGACGCAGCCATATCTCCTCGTGCAGGCTGCCCTGCAAGAAAGCTGTGCTGAAGTCAAGAGAGTGCAGCTCGTAGTCACGGTGAGCAGCAACGTGCAGCAGTACCCGAAGAGTGGTCATCTTCGGGGTGGGGGAGAAGGTCTGAAAGTAGTCAACTCCCTGCCGCTGACTGAAGCCACGAGCCACGTAACGCGCCTTGAAGACAGGCGGAGAACCCGGCGGCCGCTTCACCCTGAAGATCCACATGCCACTGACGATGTTCGCCCCAGGAGGGGGGACAGCGTCAACGTAGGTGCCTGTGGACTTCCAGGAAGCCATCTCTGCATCCATAGCTGCCTGCCACTGAGAGGAGTAGGGACCCTCTATCGCCTCCGCGTAAGAGCGCGGAGTCGGGATGTCAAGTGCATCCGGGTCTCCCTCAGGGGTAAGCAGTACGGACACGAGATGAGGTGAGGCAGCTGCCAGACACTGGAACTCCTCCTGCCTATCCTCAAGGACGTCCGTGCCAAGGGCACACGCACCCCCGACGGACGGAGGACAGACAGACTCAGACTCAGCGACAAGACTAGCAGCGTAGTCTAAGCGACAGCGAGCAGCAAAGTCGACGAGCTCAGTAACGAGAGCACACGCAGCAGTAGACTCGAAAGAAGGGTCAGTGACAACAGTAGCAAGGAGACGCGTGACAGTAGGACTGGCAGCACGAAGAGAGTCCGACTCCGGGTCGGCAAGAGGAGGAAGAGAGGACTCAGGAGGAGAAGGCAAAGGGGCACGCAGAGGAGCAGTGGACGGACGCAGAGACATCCGGTGCGTGCCAGGGACAGGAGGAGGACGCTGACGCGAACCGCGACCACTAGTGCGAGCAGCACGGACAGGCGACGCAGGGCGAGACGCAGGCTCACGACGCTCAGCCAGACCTCCAGTAGGACCAGTGTAGGGAGAAGGAGCAGGCAAAGGGGAGGTAGGCTGCAACTGTAGCTGGGACGAGACAGGCTCTGGACACTCTAAGGGAGGAGGAGAACCAGTAGAAGGTGGAAGACCAAGAACCTGCTGCAGGAGTGGAACGAAGTACGGTCGAGGCCGCGCGGCGACGCTAGACGCAGCAGGGACAGCACCAGAACCCTCAGCAGGAGCACCAGCTCCAGCAGCACCACCAGTAGCTCCAGAACCTCCAGCAGCACCAGGAGCACCCCCAGTAGGACTGCCAGCGGTAGTCTCAGCGCCAGCACCCTCAGCAGTACCAGCTCCAGTG